ATGGGATGTAAGTGGAAAAAAAGAATGGTAAATGTTTCTCGGAAGAGAACTGGCAGTAGGGGTGGATGTGTTGCAGATGGAAACAGAGGCTCTCTGTTCCACTTCTGGATCACACGGCGAGGCTGAAGCAGGTAGCAGGCTCGTGCTTCCTCTCATCTGCAGTTCTTCTCTGGCTCCCTCCATCTGGCACACATAGTCCAGGAGCCAGCGCCACACACACAAGAGAAAAAAAAAAAAAGTGGTGGCAGAAGCTTAAGCCTCCTTAAATACTTCCTGTTACTTTTGTTTTGTTTTATTTTACTTTATTTTTTTGCTGGTAGCATCTCCTTGTTTACGTTCCCTAATTATGCTGTGAACAATCTTGAAGCTTTGTGTATGCATTGCACTATAGCCTGGAAAAGAGAGCAAAATGATTTTTATACTGTCTTTAAAAAAATGGAAAGCCTACAAAGTCTAGGTACTTTTTTTTTAGTTTAGTTATATTTTAGGAGGATGCAGTCATTTGGTATAAACTGATGCAACTCCTTTGAGGCCAACACCATCAGTTCATACCAATTAAGAGGTCTGGCTTTTTCACTTGCAGACTCTCTTTTAGAAGAATTAGGTCTTTTTGATTCGAATTTGGTGAATTCTATGAGCTTAATAATACATTCTCATAGGTTCAACTTGCAGAGCTGAAGTAAGTACATTCTTGCATTGCCAGTTGGACCTATTTGGATATCTAGGAGTGTAAAGACTCCAACTGACAACACAGTAGTGCTAACCGTGCCTGCAAAAGAGAAAGAAGTGCATATATTTTAATGCATAACTGCATGCATGTTTTTGAAAAATCTGGAAATCTAGTTCTGTGAAACTCCTATGAAATGCAAATAATGAAATGCATACATATATATGAAATGCAAAAAATGCACTGCAAAAACTTCTCTCTAACATCAGTATATTTTCTCTCTCTCTTTTATTTGGTAAATGTGGAAGAGTGGAGGCTGAGGACAAGGACAGATACAGTTTTGAATGTGGGGAAAAAAACAGTAACTGTGACAAAAACAGTATAATTCAAGATTATGCTTAGATCTTTAAGCCAATGCATGAATCCAACCTCGGTACATTAACTTGCAATACTTAAAAACAGTTAATGTGTTTTGTTTTATTTGTTATTTGGTTGAGCAGATGGTAATGGTTTTGACACAATTCAGTTTTTTATTTTTCTTCTTTTCTTTTCTTGAAAAAGACAAGGCTCTTTTTCCCACTTTGTCACAGCTGGTTACCAATCAATCTCAATTCACGGTACAGTGATGATAGCACATGTTGTTTGGGGGCCAAATCTGATTGGGTTGCATTTTCAGCAGTGTTTCATATCAAAAAAAAAAAAAAAGTGTCTGTATGGCAGTGGCTGTCAGCACACTATTGTACAACTGTCATTAATCAAAACTAGCAACAATGAATGCATTCATATGTGCCAGAGACTGCCAGATTTCACTCAAAATCACCCCATTTCTATTGGAGTTTCCTCACCAGCAATGTTTTCTCATCTGCTTGTTGTTTCTGTTCCTTTCTTCCTTTCCAGTCCCTTCCCCCCATCCTCCTCAGCTAATTAAAAGCAGACCTGCTCTAACCAAGACTTGTAGAACAGAAGTTATGTCATGCGATGCCTACAAGTGACTGCCTTACATCTGCACCCGGGCTGCCTTGCTGTTAAAAGACATCTCCCAGCTCAGTGTGATGGCTGAAGTCTAAGCTAAAATGAAAGGTTAAGAAACTCCAAATGTTTAACAGAAAGAAGTATTTAAAATCAATTAGATGGCTATAAATGTAGGAAACTGATGCCTGAGGCACTGCATTTTGTGCTGCGTTTTGACATTATTTGGCTAGGAGTCAGCAATATTTGGGTAATATGTTGGAAGGTGTTTCTTGACACTGCATGTATTTCAAAGGCAGCGCTTTCTTTGTACATTGGCAGACTTGGGGACCAGCTTGACCAGTATGCTTTGGTGGGTTTTCGCCACTCCGTCAGCAATCCAAGCGTCTGTGGTTGGTATTAAGGCAGTCAGGGAGAGCCTGGTTCTCCAGTGTCAGTGACAATAATCCAGATGCGAGTTAACTTCTACGTAAACTCAGATGGAAACACCTTGTTGTGGAAATATGAGGCTCCAGGACCAGGGGAAGAGAAGATTCCTTGTTCAGCGCTGTACGGGTGGATGTCTGAAAAACAGAAAGAATGCAAAAATATCAAGGCTTCACACCTTATTACTTCACAGTCTGCTTATCAGACAGGCTCCTTGTGCTGCGGTGCACGCGGCGAGGAGCCAGTTTCCTTCTCCTCGCTGCCTGCTCCGTCTGTCAGAGCGCATCACTGAACCGCGGTGACTTGTGTGCACAGGGTGGCTTGAACAGATGACTGAGGGGCAGCGTGTCAGGACTTCGGGACAGCAGATGGTTCGGATGTCCCACGAGCCCATCTGCGTGCGCATCTAATTGCTTCGATGGCCACGTCCTAGCCGGGTGGTCCCAAAACCCAGCATGGCCTCGTTGCGTAGGCCGGCTGGGATAACCGGGCTCTCGTTGCGCCATGTTTGCTCCACGGCCCGAGCGGGCGACGCGAGTGGCGCTCTCGCTGCA